TGTCCTGGGCTGGGCCTGGGGGCGGGCCCGCGGGCTCACGGCCTCCCACCCGCAGCTGGACGGCTCCTCCGAGGACCTGGAGCTGCCGGGCCGCGGCCTGGACGCCAGCTCCGGGGACCTCAGCTGTGACAGCCGGGCCAACAGCGACTGCGAGGACACGGACGGCGTCTACACGGACGGCGAGGGCGGCGTCTACACGGACGGCGAGGGCGGCGGGCCCCACGACCCACACGACCCCCAGGACGCCGAGGAGGAGCCCGCGCTCCCCGCCCTGGCCCGGTCCTCGGAGCCCGCCTGGGTGGAAGCCCACGAGGGGCTGCGGGGTCACGGGGCCACGGCCGCCGAGTGGGAGACGCAGGTGCGCGCGGCCCCGGGGTGGGGACCCCCCTGCGTCCGGGGCCCCCCACGGCCCCCCACCCTCCCCACGTGCGTGTCAGCGGGGCCTTCTCTCCCCTGCAGGCCGGGAGCCGCCACCCGCAGGGCCAGTGGCGCCAGGACAGCATGCGGTGAGTGCCCGCCCCACGCCCGCGACGCCCGTGGTTCCCACGCCCGCCCGCGCAGCCAGGGCTCGGGGACAGGGCCCCCTCGGGTGGAGGCTTCGCGACCCACGGGCATTGGGCTGGGGCTTCGTCAGCCCCCGAGTCCCACGGGGTCAGGGTCGGCCCGGGCGAGGTCCCGCCACGCACCCCGCATCGCGGCCCTGCACCCCCTCCGCCCCAGGACGTACGAGCGCGAAGCCCTGCGGAGGAAGTTCACGAGAGCCCGGGACGCGGAGTCCTCAGACGAAGGCTACGACTGGGGCCCGGCCACCGACCTGTGACCGCGGACGCCGCGCGCCCTCCCTCCGGCTCCCCGGCCTCAGTTTCCCCCGCAGGACCCAGGGCCAGCGACCATTTAATAAACCTTTAATTTCTTTTTTAACATTAAAAATCACACAAGGCTGAGGCTTGGGGCCCCGCGGGCCGGGGGTGGCGGCGGGGCGAAGGCACGGCGGGCGGGGTCACAGGTACACGGGCTGCTCCTGCCCCGTGAGCAGCCGGTAGGTGGCGGCTGGCATGGTCTTGATGTGAATCTAGGGGTCGGGGTCAGGAGAGGGTCAGGTGCCGGGGTCGGGGTGCAGGGGTCGGGGTGCAGGGGTCGGGGGAGAGGGTCAGAGTGCAGGGGTCGGGGTGCCGGGGTCAGGAGAGGGTCAGGTGCCAGGGTCGGGGTGCTGGGGTCAGGTGCCAGGGTCGGGGTGCTGGGGTCAGAGTTCAGGGGTCGGGGTGCCGGTCCCCCACCTCTCGCGCCTCCGTGAGCAGCTGGATGATGCGCGCATGCGGCATGGCCACCACGCTCTGCCCGTTGACCTCGATGATGCGGTGTCCCACGCGGACGCCCCCGCGCTCGGCCGCGCCCCCGCGCAGCAGGCTGCAGATCTGGGGGACGCAGCACTCAGGACCCGCCGGGGCCCAGCTAGTCCGCCCCACGGCAGCCCTGTCCCCGCTAGGCCCTCCCACGGCAGCCCTGTCCCCGCTAGGCTCCCCACGCGTGCCCGGGTACCGCAACCCCCCCCCACCCGCCCGGGGCCCCGCTAGTCCCCCACGCCCGCCCGGGGTCCCGGCCTCACGATGCCGTCCTCCACGCAGAAGCCCAGCTGCTCACGCACGTGGGGCCGCCGGATGACGGCCGTGGTGACCGGCGGGCAGTGGATGATGCTCAGGGTCACCGACGAGTGTCGCCGCACCTCCTGGGGGACGCCGAGCTGCTCAGGCCTCCGCAGGCCTCAGTTTACCCACCCGGGTCGGAGGACAAGCCGACTCCCGCGCAGCCCGCAGGCCCGGGTGGTACTCACGCGCACGGCGGCCTGGCAGGCGGCGAGGGACAGCCCCACCAGGCTGGTCCCGTTGACGGCGGTGACCCGGTCCCCGATGCTGAGGGCCCCCGAGCGCTCGGCGGGGCCCCCGTGCAGCAGGTTGGCGATGACGGCGGTGGGCAGCAGCGAGCCCCAGCCGGACTCCACCAGCGCGACGCCCAGGCCCTCGCCGGGCCGCTTCTGGATGCAGACCTGGGGGCGGGGCCGGGGCGGGGCCAGTGAGGGGCAGGGGCGGGGCCAGTGAGGGGCACGGGCGGGGCTAGTGAGGGGCAGGGCTAATGAGGGGGCGGGCGGGGCTAGTGAGGGGAAGGGCCGGGGCCAGGTGGGCCAGTGAGGGGCATGGGCGGGGCTAGTGAGGGGCAGGGCTAATGAGGGGGCGGGCGGGGCTAGTGAGGGGAAGGGCCGGGGCCGGGTGGGCCAGTGAGGGGCATTGGTGGGGCCAGTGAGGGAAAGGGCGGAGCTATCTTAGTGACGGGGCGTGTTCAGGGAGGGGAGGGGCTAGTGAGGGGCGTAGGTGGGGCCAGTGAGGGGCAGGGGCGGGGCCAGTGAGGGGCATGGGCGGGGCCATCTTAGGGACGAGGCTAGTGAGAGGCGGGGCTAGTGAGAGGTGGAGCTAGCTTAGGGACGGGCTACCGAGGGGCGGGGCTAGTGAGGGCTATGGGCGGGGCTAGCTTAGGGACGGGCTATCGAAGGGCGGGGCTAGTGAGGGGTATGGGCGGGGCTAGTGAGGGGCAGGGCTAGTGAGAGGTGGAGCTAGCTTAGGGACGGGGCCATGTTCAGGGATAGGCGGGGCTGGTGAGGAGCGGAGCCACGTTCAGGTGGCGGGCGGGGTCAACAGGGGGCGGGGCTGTTCGCCGTGGCACGGGGCGGGGCCAAAGCGGAGGCGGGGCTCGGCAGACCCTCTACGAGCCAGGGAGTGGCGCAGGGCTGGGCCCGGTCGGTAGGGGAGGGGCGTTGGGGGACGGTCTGGGCGCAGCCTCGGCGGGGGCGTGGCCTGTGAGGGCGGGGCCAGGCCCGTGGGCGGGGCGGCCGTCCGGGCGTGGCCTCCGCGGCGGGGCTCACCTCCCTGCAGTTCTGGCTGTTGCAGAAGTGATCCAGGTCACCGTTGTGCGGGTGGCTGGCGGCGGCCGAGGGCCGCGTGCCCACCTGGCTGGGGTCTATCCCGTTCTCCCGCAGGAACTGGCTGTAGGCGATGCTGAAGGCCTGGCCGATGGCCTGTGCGATGAGCTGGGCCTGTGGGAGGACAGCGAGCTCCTTCACGTCCTACGAAGCCCCAGCTCCCAGGCCCGCACAGTCAAGACACCGCACGGTTTCTGAGTCAGGCTCAGCAGGGGGCAGGGTCCGGCCTGGGCCTGGGCTGCTCACATCCTCCGAGTGGAAGACGTGGCACAGCATCTTGTAGAGTCTCCGTTCGCGGTCCTGGGGCGTGGTCCTCCTGGCCAGCCGTCTCCGGGCCATCACGACCAGCACCGGCCCGATGTCCGCGATGTAGGAGATGGTCTGCAGGGCGTGGTCCATCAGGGCGTCCTGTGGACACGCGCTGCGTGGGCTGGGGACCTCTCGGGGACCCCGAGTGTCCACGACAGCCAAGGCCCGGCCCTCCGGGTACCTGGGAGTCGGCGGCCAGCACCTTGACCCTCTTGGTGGAGATAAAGATGTCCACTTCCGCCATGGGCTGGGTCTCACCTTCGGGGGCCTGCGGGGAGCGGGGTGAGACGCGGGGGCTCGTGGGCACCCAGGACACCACGCCACGCAGCCCCGGGAACCCCGCCCTGGCTCACCTTGACGCGGTCCACGGCCTCCTGCGCCTGCGCCATGCGCGTGCTGGGCGGCGGGCTGCGCTCCGACAGCAGCTGCGTGGAGCCCAGGTACTTGGCGGCGAAGAGGACGCCGTCCACGAGCTCCTCGTGTCCACAGGGGCCCGGAACTGCGGGTGACAGTGAGCGGTGCCTCCTGGGCTCGGGGGTCCCTGATCCCGGAGCTGTCCCGGGGCTTAGCACAGGCTAGACCTGCTCCATCACCTGCTCTAGAGGACCCCCCAGGCTCGTGCCCCAGGGTAGGTGGCCGGCTGTGTGCCTGTGGCTCCCAGAACTCCTGGAAAGCGTCACCCCCACTATGAGGCACCCTCTGTGGGACCCAAGGCTCACGGACCCCTCTTCTAGAACCTTCTGACCGGGCTGGAAGCTCATGGCCTCAACGTGGTGTCTCAAACTCCTAACATTCCAGAATCGGGCAGGGGTCAGCAGGATGGCTCCGTGGGTAAAGGGCTTGCGGCCAAGCACGACAACCTGAGTTCGATCCCTGGGACCCCGCATGGTGGGCAGAGAGAACCGCCGGCCCCCCCCGACAAGGTGTTCTCTGACCCCCGTCCCCGCCACATGCAATAAATAAATGCAACAAATAAGAAATAAGAGGACCCAGTGTTAGGATCCCGCCCTCACCCCTCGGGGTCTTGCATCTTACGTTATCAGGGGGCGCCGGCGACCACATGGTCATGCAATCTGCGCCTCAAAACGCCGGATGCGGACCCCCACCCTCTCTCTCTGCTCCCCGTGCCCCCCCCCCACCAGGCCTGGCTCTCCCCTCCACCCCATCCCACCCCCTCCTAATAAAGCTCTGAAGCGAACAGTGGGTTCCGCCGTGGCTCCTGACTTTTCCGCCGGTAACCAGCGCCGTTTACCTTCCACCCGGGCCGTTCTCCATAGTGACCCAGAATTCTCCCCGGACAGCCCCGGGCCTCCACTCTGGCAGTTCCAACCGGGACTCTGGACCCAGATCCTTCCTCATAAGTCCAGACCATGTTTGGTGTTTTACTTTTTTTTTAGCCCTGGGCCATGGAGCTCAGCCTGGTGGAACCTGCCATCCTCCTGCCTCAGCTTCCTGCGTGCTGGGGTCAGGTGGGTGCCCCCTTCCCAGTCACCCGGAAGCTGACAGCTGGGGCTCTAATCGCCCCCAGCTGAGTAGGATCTGTTCTTTCTGTGGTTCAGGCCCAAACAGACCTGGGCAAAACCATCAGCTCGGACACTCCTGAGATAAATCACAGCATTAACCACGATTCAGGAACCTTCTGTGACGCAGGGCCATAAGGACTACCTTCGCCACCACAGCCTTTCGGGAGGGATCAGGGTCCCCAGGGATCCTCAGTGTCTGTCTCCCCTGCACAGGGACCACAGCCTGCCACCTCCCTGTCTCCTTGAGTGGGCAACGAGGATTCGAACTCAGGTCCTCCTGCTTCTGTACCATGCCTGCTGAGCCGTCTCCCCAGCCCTCAAAAATCTGCATAAAACTGTAAATGCCGCCGGGCGGTGGTGGCGCACGCCTTTAATCCCAGCACTCGGGAGGCAGAGCCAGGCGGATCTCTGTGAGTTCGAGGCCA